CTCCCCAGCACAGCGGGTTGCGGTGGAGAGTCCCTGTGGCCTCGCACAGAGGTGGCGGGTTGTGGCGGAGAGTTCTCACTGCCTTGTTCTCACTGGTGTCTCCACCACCTCGCACGAAGGAGGCGGGTCCTGCGGCTCCGCATGCTGTGGAGGCAGGACCCTCAGCTCCGGCCTACCTCTTTGGAGCAATCCATCAAGGAGCCCCAGATAGGTGGGCGGGGCCTACTTCTTTGGGGTGATCAATCGTGGGGCTCCTGCACTGTGAGAGGGCACAGGCCAGGCTGGGGGACCCCTCCCCACACCCGAGTGCATGAATTTTATGCACCGGGCCTCTAGTCTATATATATAAAAGCCCAGTGAACGAACATCAGAATGACCAGAATGACTGATCAACCAGTGGCTATGATGTGCACTGACCACTAGGGGGCAGACACTCAATGCAGGAGCTGCCCTCTGGTGGTCAGTGAACTTCCACAGTGGGAGTGCCACTTGGTTGACCAGGATGAGTGGCACTCCCACAGCGGACTGATCCCCACAGGCTCCACCCCCCACCAGCGCATGAATCCATGCACTGGGCCTCTAGTATAATAATAAATGGAGAGAAAAAAATAAAAGAGAATGCTGCCACCTTTTCATTGTCTGTAACAACTATGCAGATATGCCTTTAAATGGAAAATAAAACCAGGAAAAATACCAAAGTACTGAGACCTCACTTGTGTTAAGGTGGGAGAATTATGGGTAATTTTTCTCCCCTCTACTGTCCACATCCAGTGTGAAATCATTATTTTACATTTGCTGTGGACACAGTTGAAGTCCCTTTGGTCTCACTCCCCAGTCCCATTTCTCTTTCTCCCTTCCCAGAGGCAACTCCAGCTGGTAATGCAAGAGTGGATTCATTTAGTATATTTCTTACACTTTAGCTACAAACTCACATATCTGTTAAAGGTATAGTATTTTTCATCTACCAGATAGACCTGACGTCTTCTGGACGTCATTCCAGACGTCCTTCCTGACAAAACTGGGGCCCAGGCGAAGGAGGGATTCCTGACAAAACTGGGGCCCAGGCGAAGGAGGGGTGGTTAGGAGTGATCATGCAGGCAGGCAAGCAGTTAGGGGTGATCAGGCAGGCAGGTGAGCAGTTAGGGGCAATCAGGCAGGCAGGCAGAGGCGGTTAGGGGCAATCAGGCAGGCAGGTGAGTGGTTAGGGGCGATCAGGCAGGCAGGTGAGTGATTAGGAGCCAGTAGTCCCAGATTGTGAGAGGGATGTCCAACTGCTGGTTTAGACTGGTTTAGGCCTGATCCTGGTAGTCGAACATCCCCTGAGAGGTCCTGGATTGAGAGAGGGTACAGGCCAGGCTGAGGAACCACCCCTCTTCCCGTGCACAAATTTTGTGCACCGGGCCTCTAGTTTTTGTATAAATGGCATCTTATTTTAACCTTCTGCAACTTGATTTTTTTCCAAAGCTGTGTTTTCATATTATACTAGAGGCCCAGTGCATGAAAATTCATGCACACGGGGGGTCCCTCAGCCCAGCCTGCGCCCTCTCAAAGCCTGGGACCCTTGGGGACTGCCCACCTGCTCGCTTAGGCCTGCTCCCTGAGAACAGATGATCTAAAAGAAATAATCATATCCTAGGGTAAGGATTTATCAAAAAGAAAATGGTCGCATGAAAATTCACTGCCAGTGGGGCTGAGGGGACTGAGGGACTCCGGCGGCAGGCGTGCGGCACAGCCAGGCCTGCCTGGGGACGGGCCCGGCTGCACCATGCGCCTGCCACCCCCCAGCGGGGCTGAGGGGTCTGGGCATTGCCATCTTGTGGCTGTGGGTGCCACCATCTTGTGAGGAGATGATGGTCAATTAGCATATTACCTCTTTATTATATAGGATGTTAATGTGTGTAAGTCTAGTTTATTCATTCCATTTACACATTGCCTGTATTTCTTTATATAAACAACATATCACAGTATGTTCACATATTCCCTTAATGAGGAACATGAAGGTGGCTTTAAATTTTCAACCTTTCAAATGATGCTGCAACAATCATCCTCATATATTTACAGGTAAATATGAGCAAGTTTCTTTAGGTTGTTTTTTTTTAACTTAGAGTTAGAAGGGCTAAACAAGAATAAATAAACAACTTTAGTTTTGCTAGGTATTGAAAAATTATCCTCCAAAATAGTTGTTCCAATTCATATTCTCAATCCTGTATGAAGAGTTCCTGTTTTCCATATTCTTGCTAAATGAGATGTTTTTCAAACTTTAAGATTCTTGCTAAACTGAAGGGTGTGGAACCAAATTCTCATTGTCTTGACTTCTATTTCCCCAGTTACTGTGAAGTTTTGAATTTACTTATAAACTATTTAGTTGTTTGCTTCTGTGATATCTACCATATGCTTTTGTCCAATTTTCTATTGGTTTCTTTGTCTTTCTATTGCAGGAGTTCCTAATAGAGTTTACATATTAACTCCTTTTATTCCACTTTTCTATTGTGACATTTTTGGAGGTTAATCTAGTTAAGAAAGTTTTACCTGAAATGCTTTCTTGCATCTATTAAAATAATCTGAGTGGGGTTTTATTTTCTCTTTCATTGTTTTAGTATGATTAATTGCAATGACAGATTTTCTGATGTTAAGTCATCCTTGAAGTCTTGGGGAAATTTTAGTTGTTTTTATTACTGATTAATTCATTTTTCTACTATTTTATTCGGGCTAAAATGTCTTAAGTGAGATTGGGCTATATTTTTCTTTCATTGTTTGGTCATCTTGTGGTTTTCATATCAAAATTATTCTTTCATTTTAAAATGAGTAGCATAGCTTTTCCTTTTTTTTCCCTCTGAAACTAGTCATTAAACCTCACCACAGATGGGCAGAATGTGGAGGTGGGTAGGGGGGACTGTGGGTTTGTGCACTGTTTATTCAAGCCCTTTTATGGTTTATTGGCCTATCCATCTTTCTATTTTTTCTTTAGTCACTGTGATAATTTTATATTTCTCACTAAATTTGCTGATTTTCTCTAGACTTTCATACTTATTGGCAGAGAACTGATCATAACATCCTCATAGATTTCTAAGAACCTGAAGCTATCCCCAGTTTTGTCCTCTTTTTTACTTCTACTCTGTGGTTGTGTGTGTATACCTTCTCTCATTTTCTTGAACAGTCATGCTAAAGTATGGTCTACTATTAATATACCTACCTAAGCTTTCTTTTTGGTTAGTATTTGGTTTGGCTCTCTTTCCCATTCATCAATGCCAGCGCTTTGGTTTGTCTGTTGCTTTATAGCAGCATTAGCTGGATTTTTAAAACAGCAAGTCAAACAATCTATATTTTATTAGAGTAGGTTCATCTCTGCATTCTTATGATTCTTGATCTATTTGGACTTTTTCCCATTATATTTCATGTTTTAAATTTACTATGAAATTTCTTTACTTGGATTTTTTTCTTCCTTTTCTGCCTTCTTAAACATTTAAGTTTTCTTATTGCATATTTTCCTTCTACTGGGTGAGAAGTTAAATATTCTGTTTCAATCTTTTTTAGTGATTACAGTTAAATTTTGACATCTACAATTAAGTCTGATGTTAGTCAAAATCTCTACCCTGCTCCTAAACAATATAAAGACCTGAGAATAATTCTCATAGCTTTCTCTCACCATCATATTATTATTTAATATTTTAATTCCATTTTATTCTTTTTTAAAATATGTTTTATTGAATTTTACAGAGATAGGAAAAGAGAGAGAGAGAGAGAGAGAGAGAGAGAGAGAGAGAGAGAGAGAAACATCGATGAGAGAGAAACATCAATCGCTGCCTCCTACATGGCTCCCACCAGAGATTTGAGGCTGCAACCCGGGCATGTGCTCTGACCAGGAATCGAACCAGCAACCTCTGGGTACATGGGTCAATGCTTAACCACCCACACTGGCTGGGCCATTTTATTCTTAATTAACACTGCCTTTATAATTATTCAAAGTGTGTGTATACATTTTTGGGGATTGTGTGTGTGTGTGTGTGTGTGTTGAACCTTCTCATTCTATCCTCCCTACTGTTAACTTTTCCTTTAATATTTTTCATCTGTTAATCTTTCTGTGCTACCTTCTGGGTAACTTCCTCAGATTTAACTAGTTCACTAATTCTCTCTTTTGCTGCACCCAGTCTACTTTTCAACCTATACATTAAAATTTTTATTTTAAGAATTATATTTATTATTTCTATAACTTCTTTCTCCTGTCTCCTACTGTACATGTTTTTTTCACACCCTCTAATGGCTTTTGTCCCTCGCTTTATTTCTTTGAACACATAAAATGTATTTATGTTAAAGCCACATTCATATAATTCTGCTATTTAATTCTCCTGAGTTATATCTTCCGACTATCTATGGTGGCTCCTTTCCTGGTGGGGTGTGCAGTTGTGACTATAAGCTTGTTTGTAGTGGGAACTGTTTCTTTAGAAATCATAGGTGTCCAAGGATATGGAAGTATGTTTACTGAGTAATTTCAGAGTTGCTTTAGCAGAGGGTAGGGTTGCATTTCAAGCACCCTTTTGGCTTTGCATCTTAGAACTACACAGACAGTCTGCATCTGGAACCCACACCTGTGCAAGTTTCTGGTATCTCATGGGGACTCTCTTTTAGCTCTAAGGCCATTGTCAGGCAGCAGTCTTCCTGCTCAGAACCTAGGAGAGTGCACCAATAGTTTTAGAACTCCTTTTGCAGATGGGATGGCATTTTGTGACTCTGGACTTCATGCTGATGGCTCAGTTTCAGCTTCCCATTCAGATGAGGCCTGTGGCTCAGACATAACTTCCAACTCAGACCTTAGGTCCCCAGTCAACCAATCGCTAAGATCTTTCTTTATTTGGTTCCCATTTGCCTCTGAGTCCCTTGGTTACAGTTCTCATTTACATCTTTAATTGTGAGTTTCCTCTTGATGTCTGGCACCTGGAGATTTTTACCTTACTGATGTCTAGATGAGTTAGGTGTTCTTTGTATAAGTCTTTGCATTGTTATATTTTATCCAGAATTCCTATGTCTTTAGAACAGGGATGGTGTGCCTTCCATGTCTGCTCAGGTTACCATATTGGCCAGACATACTTATATTACCTCTCTAATGAGGAAAAAATACAAAAAAGTTTTACAATACAAAATGTTTAAAGAAACATTTTATTTTGACTAACCTTCTTTTCTCCATGCTTCTCAGTGCTGAAGTTGAAGAACCACATAATTATGAGGCAATAATTCCATATCTGAGACATTCTGGCAACTCCATTAACCTGCGCACTGCAAAAGAAATCGCTGGTTGTAAGTCTGCTAAGCCAATTAATATTGTAACCCCGTGTGGAATGAAAATGTGTCAAAAATTGTATTTTCTCCCCTCTGACTATGAAGTTAAACATCCACAGCCATGCTGCTTTATCATATAGTTCCCCCCTCCTTTGTCTAGTCTCTTACAAATATAAATACATCCAGTTGGGCATGCGTGCTATCTCAGGACTCAGCACTGCCTTCTCTCTGCCCTCCTCTGGCCTTTCTTCACTGATCTAGATGCTTTGCCTTTTGTCGCTATGTGGGAGAGAAAGATCAAGATATGGCGATTCGTTTTTCTTCCTTGTCCTCATATTCAACCTTCATCTCTCTTCTTGCAATGTCTTTCCTGAAGCTTCATGTATGGAGAGGAAGATAACAGACCATGGGAATTAGGTCCCTTTTGTGTTTAGCCTTGATAGGAGCATACGATTCATTTAATGGCTCTGACCAATGGTTCAGAGTTACGTCTTCCTGTCTCTGGTATCGCCAAAAAAGCTCAGACTTTTATGTGAAAAAAAGAGACCCTTTCAGGGGAGAAGATGAAGAAGCAGAGACTCATAGCATTTCCACAAGTTTCTATGTCTCTGTTCTGCCTGTAGGATCAGTCAGTTCTCTATGAAAGGAGTACATGTTGGTGCCAGAATAAACACTAGCATTTACTGACCTTGTGTGATTGGTCCCAGTTCTGTGTTAGGTCTTCTGTGTACATCCTGCTGATAGGGTGATTTTAACCCACTTTGAGAGATGGGAAACTCAAGGTCAGATTGAGTAACCAAAGTCACATAAGGGCTATGTGTAGAGCTATAATGTGAAATGGGCTCAGACTGCCTCTGAGATCCACGCTCTTCCCACCACTTTATGTTGCTTCTCCTTCAAGAAGGTTTTCATTCTCCCCTCTGATAGTTGTCCTCTTCTCCAAGCTGGGATGCTGCTGTTCAGTGGAGAGGGTTATCTAACTCTGCATGAAATGTGAACAAGGACTCCAGTCCCTTCCTGACCCTCTGGGGTCCAGCCCTTTGAACTTTACATTTCTATCTCAGGAGCAAGTTTTTATGGCAAGACTTACTATTAAACTTTGTTTTAAAAGCAGCATTAAATTATGAATGTGTTATTAACTGTGCATGCATTACCCTTTTTTGGTAGTCCTCCGCTCCACCAGCCGGGCTATGGAAGGGACTGTATCACCCTTTTTTATTGGCCTTGTCAAGTAAGGTATCTCTGAGCCTTGGTTACCCCATATCTAAGACAGAATCCTAATATCTCCCCCACCCAATGGCAAGGAGAAGCAAAAAAACCATGATTTGTTAATTCTTTAAATAAATATATATGGTAAATAAACTTGAGGAAGGAAAGAAGGTATTTTTTAAATTGGAAAAAATATCCATACTTTGAATGGATGAGGCCATCTGTGTCATAAGCGGTCATTTTAAATGTATTGATAACTAAACAAAGTTTTTAAAGCAAGTAATAGCAGAATGTTTGATTCAAAAACCAGTAAAAATAACAGTGTACAATTATCCAAGTTGACTTACATATTATTAATCATCCACCCAGAATTTTAGGTCTGTGTGTCAACAATCCCATGTGGGTAGTCCCAATGGAAAACCTAGGGTTTCCTTTCCTTTAAAAATGGGTTGTATGTTTAGAATCATTATGGCTTAAGAATGCAACATGACGTTTGGTCAGTTTTCTAAACTAAAGCTTCAGGACTCTAGCAGAGAGAGGAAAAAAAGAAATGGGGAGGGGAGGTCCTACTCATTATGCACTCATTAACAGTAAGGTAAAACTTTTATGATAACTTTTAAGCAAGGAAACATCAAACTAGCAATTTTATTAAAAAAAAAAAAAAACACATCACTTTCTATACAACAGTGACCTGCTAGGTATGTTAAGTTTCTTACATCAACTCCTTTAATCTTCCCATTATCTCTGTATGGCAGATACCAACTGACCCCATTTCATAGATGTGTAAGCTGAGGTTCAAAGAAATGAAGTAATGTGTTTGCAATCCCACAGGTAGTATCAGGACTGGGTTTTGAACCCAAATTCTTGCCACTACTTGTGTTTGTTAGGTTGGCATCATGTCATTAAATAAAATCCACAGAACTATTAAAAAAAAATCAAAAGGTTTTCCAGCCTGAGTTGTGGTCCGACTCCTCTTTTCAAGCTGCACTAAGAAACTTGAGATGGGTGGGAGAAAACACTTTTAGACATGCTATGGCAGTCATTTTGTTGAAATGGGATGTAGACTGTTTCTGACTTTTTCCCCCTTTCCTTTTCCTTTCAAGTTTGTCTTCTGAGTGCTACCACTCAATTTCAGTGATTGCTTTTAACACATTAAGCACCCAATCAGTCACCGGTGACTGGCACTACACTTTCCGTCTGGAAGACAAAACAGGCTGGGCACTTAATGTCTTAATCATAGGGAAGGAATGTATTTACCCAAACAAGAAACTCAAAATTGTTTCAAATGTTTTCATTGATTGTACATTCCATCCTGGAAATCCCCACGAAATTAAAACTGTGATCACTGACCCCGAACTTCCCAAACCACCTTGATCAAGCCTTACATAGATCCGTGTGAAGGTGGAGAACACTGAACTCTGGTCTTGCATAATTGATTTCACACTGGGTACTGTATGAAACTGGTGCTCTAAGGAACTGCCTTGAAATCATTCTTTTTCATCTTTATTTTAGCAACTTATGAAGTTGGAATTGAAGAACTCCAAAAGGTATTGTTTTCTCTCTTCTTTATTTTAAATATATGTATTTTTATTGATTTTAGAAAGGAAGGGGGACAGAGAGAGAGAGAGAAACATCAATGATGAGAGAGAATCGCTGATCAGCTATCTCCTGCACACCCCACACTGGGGATTGAGCCCACAACCTGGGCATGTGCCCTGACCAGGAATCAAACCTTGACCTGATTCATAGGTCAATGCTCAACCACTGAATCACGCTGATACTTCCTTTCTTCTTAACAACTTTCTAACTAAAACAGTGTGCAGAGTTTATTCCGAAGTTTTGATTAGGAGGGAGAAAAGGTCCTTGTTGTCAGTTTTCCCCTGATGTCTGAGGCTCTCAGACTCCAGTTGATAAGGTTCTGAAGCCTGAGCCCCAGTGTCAGAGACAGAAGACGTGTGATGGAATGGGAAACGCTGATCCTCATCCACTCCCAGCCCCTCATCTTTGGCGGCCAACTGGCTTTTACTTACTGTCTCTTCGGGGGGAAGATGTCTTGGGCACAAGACAAATTTGCACATCCCAGGCTTTCACAGACTGCCCAAACCTTGAAGGCACATCCTCTGGCCTCCTGGTAGGCACAGTGCCAGGTGACTCCTTGGAGGCAGTGTAGCAACTTGATTAGGGCCCAAGCACAATCCCTGGCCTTGATCCCAGCCGCTGGCTGTGCAGCCTGAGCCTCCATTTCCTCACCTGTAGAACGGAGGTAACAGAAATGCCCACCGCTGGGATCATTGTGAGAATGACTATAAGGTAAATTCAGATGCACAGTTTAAGAGCTAGTGCCTGGAGTCTGGTCCATGCATATGGTCTCTCCCAGCTCCCATTGTATCTTCTGTAAAATGGTGTGTTCTCCAAGAGGGCAGGATGCGCATTCCTGTGGTTACCACACCTGCAGTGGTAGATGTCAGTGCAGAAGGGGCCCAGTACGTGTCTCACTAAACTTCTGTGAGAACTAAGTGAGACAGAGGAGGTAAGCATCCAGCACTGCAGGTGGCACACAGTAGGCACTCACCTAACTCTGTGACTAGGTCCGTTAGGGTTCTACTCTTTTCTCATTGGGTACCATTAGTCTAGAGCCTTTAACTTTCTGCTCCAGTTTTCTGGGCTTACTGGAAAGGACTGGTCATCTGTGGCTAGAAAACTCTGGGTGGTTATTATTCCTACTAGCGAGCGCAGAAGCATTCTATTCAAATGCTTCCCTTACCTGACAGCGTGGGCAAATAATCAGCTTCTCTGTGCAGTGCGCTCTCCGAAGGACCAAATTCTTTCCCTCGCAAAATAAAGCAGCGTGAACGTATTCTTCATTTTAACTAAAACTTTCAGCCTTCAGACATGTTTATGTTCATCTCAGGATTTTCTCTCCTGGTGGCTGGAAACTGCTATCACTCTTCCCTGGTGACGGGAGTGCAGGGGGCTGAGTGGACAGTCCATGCTCCTAAGAGATGCTCTTGGGCCCCTGCAGGTGTGCAGACCAGTTGCCCTCACACAAACCACCACAAGTCTGTGCTGTCATCGTTTTCTGACGATTGTCATTTCTTTCTACTCTCACTATCTCCGTGTCTATCAGTGAGTCCCTCGTGTGCTCAGGCGGGTATGGACCAGGTCTGTGTGTGCCAGGCACTGGTGCGTACATGGTAGGACTTCATCCACAGCATCACTGGTGAGCGGGTACACTGCTTCCACTCTACAGGTGAGAATTCGGGGCCCGGAGGGGCTCTGTAACCTGTAATAACAGAGCAGAGATCTGAGATGAGGTCCGTCTCCCTGGTCCTACCAGTGCTGCCATCCGAGTGGCTAGATGATACAGGAAAGAGAAACCAGTGGGCCCTGAATGGAGGCCTTGGTGTGCTGAGCTGCTGGGCCTGGACTATGTGGCAGCATTTTGGATGCTGGGATAGTCTCTGTTTTCTTCAAGTTCTTGGCTAGATTCCAAATACGGAATGGCACCAGCGCTTTGATGAGTAAATACATAAAGACTGTGTTGTCATCAATGGGACACAGTTTTCATGGAGTCAAAACCAGACCATGGTAGAGTTGAATTTGGATCACTGGGTGCGTGATCAATGCTGGAGAATTCCCAGCATGACCTGCACACTCTCCAATTTGTCCACTGAAATACTGTATTGTTCAAATATTACAAATTTGTACTTCCTCATATGATTTAAAAGTTTTCCATTCTACAGATGCATTCCTGGAAAGGTATGCAGCAAACTGTTTATTTCTCTATGTGAAATCATACATTCCCGCTGGCATACACTGTCATTTCAGAAATGCTTGTTTTCTTTTCGGATTGACCTTCAGCCCCACTGGGAACAGTGCGTGGAAGTTTCTGTTGTCAGTGTCTACATTTGCTTGTGCTGAGATCTCACCCACCTCTCCTTGCAGTCTGGTCTCTAATGATCTGTAACCAAGCAGAGACCTGGTTGATGAGGGTGGGTTTATGAAAATGACCATTTTCCTCTTTACTTTCAGCCTTGGAAGAGTTTCCTTCACCAAGAACATAGGTGAGTTTTATCTTCAAAAGGAAAGGGAGTAATCCAGCCCCTGATGACTGAACTAGTGTCTCCGATGGTGCAGCTCTGATTCCAGTGTCTGACCTGGCTCAGCACCTCGGGGCCTGGCCAGGCACCTGGTGCAGAGAAGGTGCTCAGGGACCCGTCCCCCTCGCCTTGCTCCAGCCCACACTGCTGTCACTGAGCAAACACAGCACATGGGAGCTATTTTCGAGCCACTGGGGCTTTAGCAGTTACGGAGGCCTCGCCACTCTCCTCTGAGACTCCTGGATTAGAGGAAGTGTCACGCAATCCAGCAGGCATGGAACCATCATGGGAATCCCCAGGAACTTAACATTTCCCAAACGTACCATGCAGTCTCAAGTCCCTTTTCCTTTGCCCATTTAATTAACTCGCCCCAACTTAATGATCTGGCAAACGCCTACTGACCATCAAATGTCCCTCCTACAAGAAGCCTTCCTTGATTCCCCTCCTCCAGGAAGAGGTAACCAGTCCCTTCCCTGTGGCACCACTGTCTGTAAGGTACCCATGAGTTTGCACTAGTGTCACTGTGTGTTGTGTTTGTTAGCATGCCTGTTGATTTTCACCCTCCTGCCCACTCTCTTGCTGTGAGCTACTTGTGGGCAAGGCCCATGTTTCCTTGTTCTTGGTGTTCCTGGCACAGCTCAGTTTGAATGAGACACATTTCAAGTGTTCAATAGCCACATGTGGACTGTGACCACTGTATTGGATGGTGCAAATTTAGGCTTTGTCCGGTAGGTCAGGGAGAACCATGAAAGAGTTTCAAAGCAGAGATAATGCACCCTCTCCCCCATAATATTATTCTTAAGGTCTGGGGGATAGGAAGATGGATTACAAAGGACATATATGTCAATAAGGCAGGTAAATGCTATAGAGTAGGGGTGGGGAATGTCTGGCCCAAGGGCCGTATAAGGCCCTCAAAATCATTTGGTCTGGCCCTGCCAAGACATTAGGAGTGACTTACTTAAATGTCTGACCAAATACGGCAGGCTAATTTTTAAGTTGATAATTTTGTATGGCTCATGAATGATGTTATAAATATCCAAATGGCTCGTGGCAGAAAAATGGTTCCCCAGCCCTGCTTTAGAGGAAATATCAATAATTGCAATGGGAACAAAAGAACTGGGTGATCCTAACTCAGAATATGCTTTGATGAAGAAGAAGGCATGCTATAAACAATGTGAGGCTTTCAACACTTTTATCACATTTCGTTCTTATGGCAACCGTGGAAATTGGCATTGTGACCTTTCATTTATACATGAGAAAATTTGATTTTTAGGAAGGTTAATCTTAGACTTAGAAAGAGGGACAGTGGGAATTAGAACCCAGTCCTCATTTCACAGTCCCTGTTCATCACAGGAAAACCAGTAAATGCTTCAATGGTGAACAAGAGTGCTGAGTAATTAGATGAGTGAATGAAACTCCTTAAAACTCTTCCCCTCCCTCGTCTCTCAGAACAGCACTCTTCTGCTGTTTTTCCCTTCTTCATGCCCACCTCTTCTTTCATTGGAGGGCCCTTCTTTCTCTGCCTTCCATTGAAACATGGTTGTAGAACCATCTAGTTCATAGTAAGGCCAGAAACGGAACTTCTCACATGGATGCTGATGCTCCCCAGCATTCTGTTCTTGGTCCTGTTTCTCATTCACTCTCCGCCTTGACTGTATCCTCCTCCAGGGCAGCTGCTTGTCTACATAT